ATGTTGCACATGCTGAAAGTCACAACCAAATTGTCATTGGTGATAGAACCATTACATTGGAGAAGGATACATATGACTTCATGACTTTGGATAGAACATCAGCACCCCTGATTCATCGTGAAATTGTATGGCAAGAATTTATTCCGGCAAAGCAACATCTTGAGGAAACACATGGGTTTAAGAATTTTGAGCAAAATTATATTGAAAACAAGTTTATGGAAGACTAAGATCACGTACTCAATGGTATGAAATATTGTTCGTACTCATATATGATTGACAACTCGAGGACAGAGTTTTTTTTCAAGTGGAGGGGAATGATGTAGGACACTTTTACGTGTTTCAAAATTATTTAGTTTTAGGTTTTTTATTTATTTTATTTTTATATACTTTATAGGAAGTTTAGTTTTAATTAATTTCCTTTAGGAATTAATTTCCTTTTATTATTAGATTTCTTTATGTCTTAGTTTTATTCTAGAGTTAGGTTTCTTTATGTTTTAGTTTTCTTTTAGAGCTAGATTTTCTTTTATTATAAATATGTGTACTGTCAAGCACAAAATTAACTTTTATTCATTCAATTATCAAATAATATATCAGATTTCTCTGAATTATCTTTTCGTTTTGTGGATTCAAAATACCCACCTTGTGGATTCAAGGTAATCCATTCCTCGTGAACAAATTTATCGCTTCTGGTTGCGCTAATAACCTTATTATCCTAAAATTTCATCTCATACATAATTCTTTCCATCACTTTTTTTTTTCTTTTAATTTATTTTTATTGGAATGCTTTTATAAGATTCTATAAGAAATTAATTTTTACAAAATCTAGAACAAAATTTTCATTTGAAGTTTTAAATATCAACAAAAACCAATGATTGAAGAATCTAAATTCTTATTTTATTAATTTGTTTGTGTGTGTGTATTTTTTTTTTTTTTAATCATATTTATGGTTTTGTTAAATTTTCAATTGCTTACTTTTTTTTTTTTTTAAAGTTATTTATTTATTTTTTTTCTTTCTTTTCGGGAAATACAAAGTTATTTTTCTTTTGAGAGGCATTTTATATTTTGGTTTTAAATTACATATTTTCACATTGCCATTTAATGCTTTTCATCCACACTTTTGTCCTTTTTGTTTTGTCTTGTTCCCCATTTGAATTTGTTTTCCCCTTTTCTCGTGAGAGACGGAACTTGAAAATAGGGAATGAAGAATGGTATATTTTCATTCATATGTTTGTTTGTCGATGTACAATCTATATATAGAGGATGATCTCCTACAATTAGGTAATATAATCAATCACACATTTATAGCCCATAATGAAGCACGATTTTACAGCTAATATACAAGAAGGCAATCAATCTAAGAATGGAAAGAATCACAAACAATTCTATACTCCTAATCTCTAAAAATCTCAACACTCCCCCTTAAGTTGGTGCACAGATATCACATATGCCCAACTTGCCTAAAAACTTTGAGAATACTCGATAGGAGACTGCTTTGGTGAGAATGTCGGCCAGCTGATCTTCTGATTTTATTTTAGGTAACTCCACAATCTTTTCATCTAAATTTTCCTTGATAAAAAATTTGTCCACCTCGATATGCTTTGTACGATCATGTTATACTGGATTATGAGCAATGTCACATGCAGCTTTATTGTTAGAAAATAGTTGCATTGGTTTATTAGATAGGTAACCCAAATCCTGTAAAAGGAGTCTTAATAATAATACTTCACAAAGTCCCAGAGCCATACCTTTAAATTCAGCTTCTGAACTTGAGCGAGCGATAACACTCTGTTTTTTACTTCTCCATGTCACAAGATTACCACCTACGAAGGTAAAGTAACTAGGGGTAGATCGCCTATCATTCATGGTACCGGCCCAATCAGCATCCGTATATGAATCTATGCTTTGATAATCTGAGTTCTTAGTGAACAAGATTCCTTTTCTAGGAGTAAATTTCAAATACCTCAAAATACGCATAACTACATTCATATGTTGCTCTCCAGGATTATGCATAAACTGACTGACAATACTTAATGCATAGGTTAAATCTGGTTTTGTATGTGCTAAGTACATCAATCTCTCTACAAATCTTTGGTATTTTCCTCTATCAGTTGGTACTTGGTTGGACTCAATGCACAACTTTAGAACTTTATCCACTGGTGTATCAATTGGTTGACATGCTGACATACCGGTCTCTTGTAATATATCTAAGGCATATTTTCTTTAGGATAAAAATATTCCTTTATTGGATCGGGATACTGCAATCCTAAGAAAATATTTTAGAAGGTCTAGATCTTTCATTTCAAATTCTCTAGATAAGTAATTCTGTAGGGCCTTCTTTTCTTCAGAATCATTCCCTGCAACTACTATGTTATCTACATATACAATAAATGTAGTGATCTTACCCTGCTGTTTTTTGAGGAATAGTATGATCTGAATTGCTTTGATGATAGCCAAATGCTCTCATAGACTTTGTGAATCTTCCAAACCAAGTTCTCGGAGATTGCTTCAATCAATACAACGACTTCTTTAGTCTGCACACCTTTTAACTATTCCTTTCGGGTATCATGCACTCGGGCGGGAGATCCATGTAGACTTCTTCAGATAAATCGCTATGCAGAAAAATATTCTTTACATCAAACTATTGCAATGGCCAATCCAAATTCGCAGCTAAAGACAACAGAACACAAATTGTGTTGATTTTGGCTACTAGTGCAAATGTCTCTGTGTAATCGATCCCGTAGGTTTGAGTGTGCCCCTTAGCCACCAGTCTCGCTTTAAAGCATTCAATTGTGCCATCAGCTTTGTACTTCAAAGTGTAAATCTACTGACATCCAATTGTTTTCTTTCCTGGCAGGAGATCAACAAGTTCCCAAGTTTCATTCTTCTGCAGGGATTTCATCTCCTCGTTCATAGCTGCTTTCCACTTAGGGTCAACTAAGGCTTTCTGCACACTGTTAGGAATAGACACACTAGACAATTGATTCACAAATGACATATTTGATTCAGACAAATGATGGTTAGACATATAATGACTCATATGATATTTGACTCTACTAGAAAGCTTAAGCTCATATGTGGGTTTAGGAATACCTCTGGTGTGACCCTGTGGCAACTGTCTTCTGTGTGGCTCAGGAACATCTTCAAAAAAAGATTGGTTTGGTGTGTCGGATGGAATTGGAGGCGGACTTGCTTCTTAAGGTGGATTTGTTTCTTCTATTATTGGGTGTTCATCACCACTTTGATCCAATATTATACCATTTAAATCCAATTCACCCATTTCTTGATTTACTGGTCCAGCTTGTGAGTCATCACCACTTAAATTTAGATTGCCCATTTTCTGGTTAGATGATTCAGCTTCCTCGGAAATGGGATAATCATACTCTAGAAAATCATAATTCAGAGTCTGAATTCCTTTTTGGTACTCCCCCTGAAGTTTAGACTCAGAAAAATACATTGAGTTTTCGTGATAAAAATAGCATCCATTGTGATAAAACATTCGCTATGAGGGAGGATGAGAACATCGGTACCCCTTTTATTGAGTAATATATCCAACAAAAACACACCGCAATGCTCGAGGAGTTAACTTGTTGCGTTGGTGTTTATAGAGGTGTACAAACACTACAGAATCAAAGACATAAGGCGGTAAATTTGGTACGGTTGGAATAATAATGTTCCGCACGATTTAACAGCTAATATACAGCAAGGCAATCAATTTAAGAATGGAAAGAATCACAAACGATTCTATACTCCTAACTCCTAGAATCTCAACACTCCCCCTCAAGTTGGTGTATAGATATCACACATGCCCAACTTGCCTAAAAACTTTGAGAATACTCGATGGAGACTGCTTTAGTGAGGATGTCGGCCAGCTGATCTTCTAATTTTATTTTAGTCAACTCCACAATCTTTTCATCTAACTTTTCCTTGATGAAAAATATGTCCATCTCGACATGCTTTGTACGATCATGTTGTACTGGATTATGATCAATGTCACATGCTGCTTTATTGTTAAAAAATAGTTGCATTGGTTTCTTAGATAGGTAACCCAAATCCTGTAAAATGAGTCTTAGCAATAATACTTCACAAAGTCCCAGAGCCATACCTCTAAATTCAGCTTCTACACTTGAGCGAACGACAACACTCTGTTTCTTACTTCTTCATGTCACAAGATTACCACCTACAAAGGTAAAGTAACCAGAGGTAGATCGCCTATTATCCACGGCACCGGCCCAATCAACATCAGTATATGCATCTATGCTTTGATAATCTGAGTTCTTAGTGAATAAGATTCCCTTTCCAGGAGCAGATTTTAAATACCTCAAAATACATATAATTGCATTCATATGTTACTCTCCAGGATTATGCATAAACTGACTGACAATACTTAATACATAGGTTAGATCTGGTCTTGTATATGCTAAGTACATCAATCTCCCTACAAGTCTTTGGTATCTTCCATTATCAGTTGGTACTTGGTTGGACTTAATGCACTACTTTAAACCTTCCTCCACTAGTGTATCAATTGGTTGACATGCTGACATACCAGTCTCTTGTAAGAGATCTAAGGCATATTTTCTTTGGGATAGAAATATTCCTTTATTGGATCGGGATACTTCAATCCTAAGAAAATATTTCAAAGGGCCTAGGTCTTTCATTTCAAATTCTCTAGACAAGTAAATCTGTAGGGCTTTCCTTTCTTCAGAATCATTCCCTGTAACCACCATGTCATCCACATATACAATAAATACAGTGATTTTACCCTGCTATTTTTTGAGGAATAGAGTATAATCTCAATTGCTTTGATGATAGCCAAATGCTCTCTCATAAACTTTATGAATCTTCCAAACCAAGCTCTCGGAGATTACTTCAATCCATACAACGATTTCTTTAGTCTGCACACCTTCTGACTTTGCCTCTTGGGTATCATGCACCCAGGCAGGAGATCTATGTAGACTTCTTTACATAATTCACCTTGCAAAAAAAACATTCTTTACATCGAACTATTGCAATGGCCAATCCAAATTCACAGCTAAAGACAATAGAACACAAATTTTGTTGATTTTGGCTGTAAATGTCTCTTTGTAATCGATCTTGTAGGTTTGAGTGTACCGCTTAGCCACTAGTCTCGCTTTAAAGCATTCAATTGTGCCATTAGCTTTGTACTTTACACTGCAAATCCACTGACATCCAATTGTTTTCTTTCCTGGTGGGAGATCAACAAGTTCCCAAGTTTCATTCTTCTGCAAGGATTTCATCTCCTCGTTCATAGCTGCTTTCCACTTGGGGTCAACTAAGGCTTTCTGCACACTGTTAGGAATAAATACACTAGACAATTGCTTCACAAATGACATATTTGATTCAGACAAACGATGGTTATACACATAATGACTCATAGGAGATTTGACTTTACTAGAAAGCTTGGGCTCATATGTGGGTTTAGGAATACCTCTGGTGTGACCCTGTGGCAACTATCTTCTGTGTGGGTCAGGAACATCTTCAGAAAACGATTGGTTTGGTATGTCGAACGGAATTGGAGGCGGACTAACTTCTTGAGGTGGACTTGTTTTTTCTAAAATAATTCCATACAATTTTAATGTTAGATGCTCTGAGTGCAATTCTATAATATTCTATCCTTGGCAATTTAATTTCACTCTGGACCACTCCTAAACCATCTATCATAGTATTTAATCTCCATTAAAAACATAGGAAATCAACCACCATGAAGCTTTATCACTGAAAAATGGAAAATAATCAAACAGAACGTAAAAACACTAAAGAGAACAACATGGAGCAGGCTCCAAAATCTTGGAGCCACCTCCATTAACCTTGGAGCCGCCTCCATAGGTCTTGGAGCCACCTCCAAACCAAGAAGAGTCGGCTCCAATCCAAAGAAGAGCCGGTTCTCTCCCTCCTCTGCCTCGTTTTTCTTCTTCAGTCGTCGTCTACACCTCCGGCACTTCACAGTTTAGGTTCCCAGAGATTTTAACTTAGTCCCAGTAGATTCCAACCCTTGTTTCAGTCCTTATTATATTACTAATATGGATTAAAGAGAGAACTATACAAGAAAGTTTCAAATTGAAACAGTTTAACAAATGTAAAACAGATTCTGTTATAATTAAAATTTTAACCAAGGAAACATATAACATTTTTTGTTTTAAACATGTAATTCATCCTGAAATTATTTAAGCATGCAAAGAACACGAAGCCTAAGGGAGAAAGTTAAGACAGAACTTGCCTTTGAGATCTTTGTTCAAAATCTCTACGCCGTCTTCTAAGTTCTCCGGTGAACTCAAATATTGTAAAACTTCCTCTGTTTCTCTCTCTGCTATTTCCACAGATGTGTTTTAGTTTTATTTGCTTTTAAAACCCTAAACAGACGTCTACTATATATTTATAGAGTTATACCAAACCCTAAATTAATTCAAGCCCGCCCCAACTGAAATCCTAACCGACCCAAAGAAACTTAATTAAAAACCTACGTCGGCTACAAACGTTACTTCTAAAACAAAACCCTAATTAAATACAATTAAATTATGACAATTAACAATTAAATTAAAACAACTAAACCATTATATTAAATTAAATTAATTCAATTAAAATAACTAAATTAAACCACTTAAACAAAAATAAAGAATTACATACAATAATAGAAAAAAACAAGTCATAATTCAAGTAATAAACATTTAAACACATTACACAATTTAAACAAATAACAAATATGTCAAATAAACAATTAAATAATTGAAAATTTAATTAAAAGAATAAATTAAATACTAGGATATCCTTTTGAAATTAGGGGTATTACAGTGGACCAGCCTTAAACTTGAACTTGTGAGTGGAGCAACCTTTGAGGTTGTAGGAACCTTCCTCTTTGCCCTCTGCGAGGTCAAGGTGGTATGAGTTTGAGTTGTTACTTTGTCAGATTTGGTGGAATTAACTCTTATCGCATCGTGCTGTCTTTTGGCAAGAATAGATGATTTAACCATACTCCACATCATCAAACTTGCAGAGGTGTTTATACCACTTCTTGCCACCTTTTGTGGTGGTAATGATGTTGTTTGTCATGACTACGATGTCCTTGGGGTTATTCATGCTCTTCGTCTGAATTTTGTTGGAAGTCATAGAATTTGACGATGAATTTGTTAAGGATTTGATGTAAGAGAAAAATATGAGAGGCAGAAGATGTCCCACCGGGCGTGCCAAAAATTTGTACGCAAAAATTTCATAGTTTGCAAATAAAAGAACAAAATAGGGAGCAAATAGTAATTTTATTAATTTGGGAAAATTGGAATACAATCCTTTGAGATATTCTTTAAAAAGAAATAATTTGTCCTCTGATTAGATCTCCTTTGTTGGTTGGATTCAAGGGCTGTTGGAGTTTGATCTTGAATTGGGTTGTTGACAATCTTCTTCAAATATTTGTAGTTGGGGAAGACCACCGATGATTTCTGATCGAGGGCTGATGAAGCTTGATCTCGAACAGTGTTATATAATGATTCATCAAACTTGTTGAATCATGGAGAAAGAATAGCACGATTTTGATGTGCATGTTGTTCTTTGTTGAATTTGAAGAAGACCGGCACGACTTTGGATTGGATGTGCTTGTTGTTCTTCGTCTTCAGAGAATTTGTGGAAGAACGGCATGGCTTTGGTTGTGCTTGTTGTTCTTTGCCTTCAGAATGTTGAATTTGATGAAGAACGACACAGCTTTGGTTGTGCTTTTTGTTCTTCACGTTTAGGTTTAGATGTTCGGAATGAATGTCGGTAGAGCTTCTGTATTTCTCTCTGGAATTCTGAATTTCTATCCCCTCTAGATTTCCGAGTCTCTCAATTTCTGGACCCTTCTGGATTTTTGAGTCTCTCAATTTCTGAACCCTCTTCTTCCTTCCTCCTCCAGGCCTCTATTTATATGCTTCTTGAATTAATAGGATAATAACACGTGTCCTCTCCTGTTAAGGACAAAATTATAACTGGGCCGGGCCGACTATGTTGTGATGATTATCTATAAAATAATTATTCCAAATATATTTTATTAGGAATAATTATTTTTTTGTTGAATCATCTAGGCTGAGCTAATTAAATAATTTAAGTGAACCAAGTTTGGGCCAATTAAATAATTTAATTAAACATGAGGCCCATATTTGATGGGTCAATTTGTCAAAATAAAAGTCCATAAAATTTTAGTGTCTACAGACACTATTCATAAGCTTTTTAGGAACAATACAAAAACAAAAAGTTTAGTTGAAGATTTGGTGAATGAAGAACATAGGAATGAAGAAAATCTTAATGAACATGGAGATTTAATGAATGAAGATGAGAATGAAAATCAATAAATGTGAATGAACTTGAAGATTTGGTAAATGAAGAATATATGAATGAGAATGATAATCTTCTTTTGAACATTAATTATCCAGAAAATTGAAAAAATATTGTTAAAAAAATGAGAGATTTATTAGTTGAAAGTGGTCTTCCAAGATATGCTAAACTTGAAAATTTTCCTAAGGATTAAAAAAATAGACATTTATTTTTGTGCGTGTGAAAATATACGTACAAAGGGCCTCACATTAAAGTTCACCTAGGGCCTCTCGAGATTTTTTCAATCTTAGGGCTGGCACTGCCTTTAACTAAAAGGTCGTATAAAACGATTAAATGGGGACAAAGGATGAGCAAGTGGGGAACAAAGAATTAACTTAGTATATTATGTTTAAATTTTGGCAGAATTTCATTGATTGAATAATACAATTGCGGTGGACGTTAACTATATGACTGCATAAATGGCTTAATGCACAAGTTAAGAGTTAGATAAGGCAATAAGAAAACGTAAAGGAAAGTAATAGCAAGGAATTGAATTGCTTTGTGCTAGCTATAAGTAATGGATCTAAAGGCAGCAATATTAACCTATAAATTAGGAATAACAAGCAGCAAAAGAATGTAGATCCTACAGAGATCCCAAGGAAATCGTTGAGAGATATTCTGATTAAGAGAAGGTAGAGTCATAATAAGTTATATTGGTTTTTGTGTGAAGAAATCCTTTTATGTGCAACCTTCAAGAGAGATATTTGAAGTTTGTCTTTGGGTAGGTTTTCTTCTTTATGTAAGCCTTTCTTCGTTTGGTGGGTGAGGTTTTAGTGTGGAATAGTGATTATTGTTTGGAATAACCAAAACGTTCTTCAATTTGTAATCTTTTTCTATATAGTGATATGCATCATCATCGCCTGCGGATGTAACCCTATTTATATGGGTGAACTATGCGGTTTTCACACACACAATTGGCAAATATAACAAATAAAAAATCACACACACAAGCAAAAACGAGATTTATGTGGTTTAGCAAATTGCCTAGTCCACTGGCAAAGAACGACTAACTTTATTTCAAAAACTTGATTACACATTATTTCCTCTTTCACAACCTCTACTCTCTTTTTTTCTCTACAATTTTCTCTATCTAATATCCATCTCTATTTATAGAGTCTTCAAACTCAATTCCTTATTGGACAAGGATCAACTTGGCTACAAGGAGTTAATATATTAGTCTTAAACTCTAAAATAGAGATACAACTTCTTCCTCAAATCTATAGCTTTTTCCCTAAGTCTTTTGGCTTCCAAAACCAATTAGGAAACTGTTTCTCGTAGGTTCCAATAGTTCACTGTCCAAGTTGAACCGGCTCAGCTCAATTTGAACCGGCTCAACTTTGGTAGTAGCCAAAGTTAAAAAAAACTACATGCCTAGGTTGAACCAATTCACCCCACTTGAACCGGTTCAACTTTGGCAGTAGCCAAAGATAAGCCAAAATCATGAACTTTGAACACATCAATTCTTCACGTAATCAACACGTGATCAAAATATGTCTTCCACATACGTGCTCCACCATAGCTCCACCTTAACTAAAGATTTCTCCACCTCAAATGAGGTACTATAATGAAATTGAGAAATACTCTAGCAATCTACACCTTTTCTCAAATTCATCATTATTCTTCTTGTCGTTCTTCGCCGCACCACCATACTCATCTATTCTTAGCAAATTCTAAGTTCAAATAATTAAACTTGGAATCTACTTTCGCATCACCAAATTGAAATCTTCTTCCTTTTGGGATAAAAGCTGGTGCTCTTGCAATTGTCAAGACTTCTTCCTTCTCTTTCTGTTATTGATTCTTCATTCTAATAGATCTCGAAACAGGCTTCCATTCTATCTTTGTAATTACTCCACCTAGCATAGTATTTCCAAGAAAAGAACAAGCAGAATCAAGTATCCATTCATTAGCTTATCCCTTATTATCAATGATTGATAATGCTTCATCATTATCACTCTTTCCTTTCATATATTCAGGCACGATAATGGCAGCAAATGCA